GGTGCACGTTGGGTAATTTCCCTCAATTTCTCCCTTCAGCTTCTGGAGATCAGACTGCTCACATTTGGAGATACGCTGTCCAGTTGCCAACACCCCAGCCCGTGGCCGACACTAATGTAAGCACATGTTTACTTACCCTGAAAACATGACCTGGGTCGTGTGGGTAGGGTTCTAGATGTTGGAAAATTTCAAGATAACTTTATAATGTCTTATGGACTGAATGTTTGTGTCCCCCCAAATCATAGGTCAAAGACCTAACCCCCAGTGTGACTGTGTTTGGAGGTGGGGCCTCTAAGGAGGTGATTAAGGTTAAATGAGGTCATAGGGTGGGGTCCTGATCCTACAGGATTAGGTCCTTACAAGGACAGACAGCAGAGAGCTCTCGAGCTCCTTTCCTCCCTGTCCACACCTGGGAGAGGCCATGTGAGTACACAATGAGCAGGTGGCTGTCCGCACTCCAGGAAGAGAGCCTTCACCAGAAACTATACCTGCCATCCTCGGTCTTAGCCACTCAGCCCGAGCTGACCCAGGTGGTGTCTAAGAAGTACCTGTATTTGTTTATTCATGTGCTTGCTTTCACCTTCCTTTCCACAAATATAAACATTTACCATTAATTCTTTTAAATTTACAATTAGATTATATTTCTTAATATTTCATGTATTTCATTTTAGATAACTTGACCATCTTTCATATAAGAAAACCATGTAGGTCAATGGATGCGTAACATTTTTATGTGGAAAAACTTTTACGGTAGGCAACAAAAGACTTTGCATATGACAAGAGGAATGAATTGACTGATTTAAACCCTAAGTCCTTCAGTGACTGACTGACTTGTACTGTTGGATGCAGTTGTGCCATTGAGCCCACAGTGCACATCTGCAGTCACGCAGACATCTTAATTGTCCTGTTGAGTGAAATGAGCTGCTAGTGTCTGTCGCAGGGTAGCTTTGTGCTATCACCTCATGTGCTTCACCCTCTTCCCCCCGTGCTGCTCCCTTCTCGGGCCTCCACACTTGTGTTCTCTCTGGTAGAAATGCTGTTCTCCGAAGTATTGGTGTGCTATGCTCCATGCTTTCTTCACATCCTAACTCAGATGGTGCTGGAGCCAAGAGTCTGTCTCTGATAATTCTGTATAAAAGCAGCCCTCATCCTGCGTTACGTTTCTTCTTAGTACCCATGACCGAGTCTGTGTGTGCATGTGACATCTGTCCCTGTACTGTGTGTGTGTGTGACACCTGTGCCTGTATTGTGTGTGTGTACACGTGACACCTGTCCCTGTACTTTGTGTGTACTTACGTGATACCTGTCCCTGTACTGTGTGCATGTGACACGTGTCTCTCTGTACTGTGTGTGTGTGTGCGTGTGACATCTGTCCTTGTACTGTGTGTTCGTGTGACACCTGTCCCTGTACTGTGTGTGTGTACGTGTAACACCTGTCCCTGTACTATGTCTGTGTGACATGATCCTATACTGTGTGTGTACAGATGGCATTTATTCCCACACTAGTGCGTGTGTATACACAACACAGTTTTCCATGTGTGTGTTTGCACGTGTGTGTGGTGTGTCCTCCTTGCTGACGTGTAAACTCCCTGAGGCGGGCGGGTGGGGACTTTGCCTGGTCTGGCTTCAGTGCCCTCCTCCCCTGGCTGCTCATTCTTCCACATGTATGTGTCACACAGTTTGCCTCTCCTCTGCTCTGTGCCTAGCCTGTGGGAGCTGAAGGAACAGATAAACGTTTTTTCAGAGAGCTGAAGCCAAGACTGACTATTATGTTATTTTATCTTAGCTTTTGACAAACGACTAAAGATGTCAACAGAGAAATAAAGTGAACTCTCATATCTATTGTTATAGCAGTAGGATTTTAAGTATACGTATCTTTAGCAACCTCCTGAGGATTGAAATGCTCCTTTTTTTATTGATAAATTTATTGACTTCCAGTTGTATTTGTTTAGTGTTATTACATTTCTACTAACACATGGTAAAAACCTAAAATGTTGAAAGTCACTTTAGTTTCCATTTTACTGGTTAGTGAAGATGAACTGTTGCTTGTTTGATGTCATAGTGGCCTTGACTTTTTTCCTCCTTATATTTGGCCCTGGGTTTTAGCCAAGTGGATACTCATAAAGGTGAAAAATACTCATTAAGCACCAGTTATGTGCCAGGTGCTCTGCTGGTGTTGGGCATAGTGATGATCAAGCCCTAGAAAGATATGTGACAACAGTCTGACTGTGTGTCGTGAGCCTCAGGAGTTCTCTGCTCTCACCAGCAGATAGGTGGCGAGGACGAGGTCGAGTGCTCTGATAAAGATGAGGCCGACGTGGACGGAGACGTGTCCAGTGACTGTCCTACCATCCGGGCGCCATTGACTTCCCTTAAGAGCCACCAGGGAGTGGTCATAGCTGCCGACTGGCTGGTCGGGGGGAAGCAGGCAGTCACGGCGTCCTGGGACCGGACTGCTAACCTGTATGACGTGGAGACGGCGGAGCTCCTTCACTCTCTGACAGGTACCCCAGCACTGGCCCCCAGGTGTGTGCTCACGTGTGTCTCACCTGCACAGCCCTGCCTGTGCAGAACGGTTTTAGTTCCCTGGGTGCTCCAGCTATGGTTTTCAGAGATCCTCTCTAATGGAACTCTTGGTAGCCAGGTTTACCTTTAGAGGACTCAGCTATAGCAGGTACGGCTGCTGTGTTAGTTTTCTATTGCTTTGTAACAAATTTCCACAAACTAGTGTCTTAGAATATTACAAATTCACAACCTCATGGTCTCCCTGGGTCAGGAGTTCTGGGCACATGCTCACTGCCCTCTGCTCAGGGTGTCACGGGTGAGATGAAGGCGCTCCATGGGGGGTGAGCCCATCGAGGCCTGGGGTCCTCTTTGTAGATGACCGAGGTTCTGTTTTGTTATAACTGTCAGCTGGGGACCGCCCTTAGCAGCCTGCATACCCTTGGATCCCTTGCGGCCCCATCTAGAGGCGTATTTGTAGCCCATGGCTGTTTGTTTTTTTCCAGATAGGCAGGAAAGGCTCTGTGCCTGGACCCTTTGAAAGGCCTATCTGAGTAGGTCAGGCCCACCCAGGGCAGTCTTCTGAGTAACTCAAAGCCACCTGATTTGGAGGCCCTAGTCACAGCTACGGCAGAATCTGTTTTGTCCTATAATGTCCTGAGAGGGCCACCTTAGTAGCTCATCACATTTGCAGGTTCTGCCCAAGCCCAAGACTCACACAGCCCTGCTCACCAGGTCTGGGGGCTCCTGGCTGTCTCACAATTCTGCCCACAAAGGTTTCTGCAAATTTCTCAACAGGTACATTTCCTCGTTGAGTGTTAAAGGTCATATTTTACTGAGGGCTCTACGTCTCATGTTATTAGAGGTTATCCTGGAAGTGAAAAATTAAGAATTAATTTGTTTGCATGTTCAGCCTGCTAAAGAGACTTGCCAGACTTTTAGCTGCTAGATCAAGAAGTGAGTTACACTGACAGTTAGTGTCACACGCCCTTTAAATGCACAAGTGAAAGACTGTCCAGCTCCTGAGGAAACTGGTCCCACCATGACCCCACGTGCTATTATTGATTCCTCGTGTTTATGTTTACAGCAAACACTGGCAGTGGCAACCATGAAGACTTCTTTGACTCTTGTTTTTAAGAAAGCTTCACTGACTATATCTGCAGGCGGGTGATGCTGCACTTTTGTCGTCTTCGCTTGTAGGGCACGACCAGGAGCTCACGCACTGTTGCACACACCCCACCCAGCGGCTCGTGGTGACCTCCTCCCGGGACACGACCTTCCGCCTGTGGGATTTCAGGGACCCGTCCATCCACTCTGTGAATGTTTTCCAGGGCCACACAGAGTGAGTCACAGTCGTTCAGACGTCCCTTTTTAACTGTTCTTGGAAAAGGTTTTTTGGGTGGATAGGAAAACTTTATTCCTATCTTAATTTTCATATTAATTTCCAACTCCACTGTCTTTCAAAATGGTACTGTTTTCCTAAACATTTAGCTCCATTTTGCAGATGTCAAGGAATTTAGTAGGAGACTAAGAGGAGTCACTGATGTTCTCTTAGGAAATTGGATGAGGACAGAATGGGGCAGTGGGAGAGGGATCAGGGAACAACCCGGAAGTACTGCAGGGTTGGTGGTGTGAGGGGTCACACAGGGGCTATTCATAGCCACTCCCAGAGTTCTTGCACTGGGCTGATTTTCACTTCGTTTTGACATTACACATATTTGCAGCATCTGCTCTGGGAGCAGACACACAAACACACGCTGACCCTTACCGACCCTCTGCCTGGATGGCTGTTAGGCGGCTTAGGCATGACTGTGTCTTAACAGGACTGTTTCCAAAACTTGCTTTACCCTTTTTGAAGTCTTTGGGACTTGGTGGGTACTGGCTAGGAGCTGGTTTGCATGTCCTCCGTCACGGCTCCAGTGGGACCCACAGGCGGGGCCTCTGCCACCTTGGCGGGGAGGGGCCTCTGCCACCTTGGCGGGGAGAGGCCTCTGCCTGGTGAGACCCCACACTGCGTGGGCAGCAGGTGGGGCTGCAGGTTGCTGTATCCCATGTACAAAGCCTTCCTGACCTGTCAGCACAGACTCTAGAAGTAACTGCAGTTTGGAAAAGCTGGAAGTGCGACATTTTACAGGGTTTCCGCTGAGGACTCTTTGTCCATGAATACTGCTTTTTTGTCTCGGGCATGGGCTCTCTAGGCTCTGAATGCATTACCTTTGCCAGTGACGTAGCTATCCCCATGCAAAGGCACATGTGCATCAAAACTGAACGCGAGGGCCTGCTTCCTGTGGAAGAGCAGAGCAGCGGCTGACACTGAGTGTGCCCTGCTTCATCGCTCACCTCTGAGGTTGTGGCTTCTGTTGCTACCTCAGACCTGTGGACCTCTGTCCTAGGGGACGCCCATGAGCCCAGCTGCTGCACTGCTGTCTGTCCCCTGGGCCAGGCTGAGCCATGCTGTCAGCATTTCCAGCATTGGGTACAGTGTCTGCCACCCAGGAAGCAAGTCGGGTGTTCTTGCAAGGATTCATCCTGCTAGTCTGGGGGCCTTTCCTGAGTCCTTCCAACCTGACTTTCTGAATATTAAATGCGAAATTCAGATGTGCAGTTCTTAGGGCTTTGCTGTCCTTCACTTGTCGAGTGTGGAGTGGTTTTTAGTGGAGTGTTGCTTAAACTGAGGCGATATTTCTTAAAAACATGTGACCACATATTTCACATTAACTTGATGTGCAACACACTTTGGATAACTTTATCTCAGGGCCTGTTTTCATATCCAGGAACTCAGCAGAGTTCTTCAGTGACATATGTTAGAATTTCACGCCTTTCATGGTGCTAGTAACTCACTTACTGTCCAATAACTTTGAATTTCTGTGTTGGGCTGTCTTAAGGCGAGATGTATCCGAGGAGGCGTCCATATAATTGCCTAGTTTTAGAGCCAGTTTTCCAGGAACTGGGAGAGATTATTTTTCTCTTTTTCATTTTCACTGTTCACCCTGTACTTTTACATGGATTGTATGCCTTTGGAAACAGAAGAGTTTGAAATGTAACACGTCACTGTAAAATGAAACCCTACAGTTGAATGGCCCCCCTCTGAAATCTGTGTTGCATCGTTTTTGGGGGACAGAGATGGGGCTCCCTGATGCAAGCTCTGCTAGGCTTCCATCGTGAGTTTTCAGAGAGGACAAACATGCCTTTTTCTTTTTGACGTGCTATGTTCATTTTCACTCCGTATTGTGAAATCTCTTCATTATAATGGGAATATCACCATAATAGGATTTATTTCATATAATTGTGGCTGTTACTATTTGACTAGCTGTTAGTGACCCCAGGTGTACCCATTTATATGAAATGTAATTTTAAATATTTTATATAACATTGTTTTCCTAATAGCAGGAATGAGAAATTGTAGTGTCTACCCTTCTTGGAAATCATAGAAATGTTTAATTGGCAAATTTCGGAATGTCATAGGAATTTCTACTGTTGACAGTTTATTTCCCATATATTTCTGTCCTCACCGTCCGTCAAAAGCTGGGACCGAAATTCAATGGTTTTCATCTGAAACAAGCTAAACCCTTATATATTCATGCGTTTTCAACTGACACCATCATTCAGTAACCGGCCAACATTGGAAAGGGTTCCGTCGGGTAGCCCTCTGCCCCTCTCCTGTACCCGTGCTTGCGTCCTCCCCTCGGGTGGGACTCAGCATGAGTCATTCCAGCTGGACCTGCCCTGGGCACTGTGGATGCACCGACATTTCTGCAAGAGCCTCATTGTAATAAAACCCCTTTTTAGGTTAAATCGACTAACTGCCCTTTGAAAGGAACGGAGAGATGCTCACTGAGTTCTTTCTTGGCAGAAGGACCCAGATTCCCGCCTCCAGCATCACTTTCTTCCCCATGGAGCTCGGTAGAGCGTGGGCTCCCCACCCCTTTTTTCAGTTTCGTTTTGTTTTGTTTCAGTTACTATAAAAAGGGACTGACAGTTGAGACTGTCACTGGGTCATTAAGCTTCCCCCACAGGTGGCCTATGACTAGTCTGTACCCGGTTGACGATCTTTACAAGTGAGATACACTCTGGCTTTGACAAAAATCTGAAATAGGCTCGACACGGATAAAATAACCAAGAATGCAAACTTGTTTCTTTTCTGCTTTAATTCTTTCCATATGATTGCAACCTTACCCCCAAAATGTGAATTTTAGCACATTCTTCTAAAGAAAACAAAACACTGCATCTAAAAGGACAAAATTTTAAAAAATCAGTCAAAACATTATCAAGTTTGCTTTAAAAAGTCAGGACATTTTCACATGCTTTTATTACCAAATTCCCAGGGGAGATATTTAGCACTAAATACTAAATTCTAGGTTGTGTACGGATGAAGGAGAAAATAGCTTTGACTTTTGTGTTGTTTTTATCAGTTTTCTGTATGCTTTTAAAGAGAAATGTGTTTTGACAGCATGACATTTTTAACCACGCGGTGGTGGTTTTTACTGTATTGAACCCTTTGCTTGGTCCGTGATCAGCTGTACATGGGCCCATGGTGGGGACGGGTAGTGGTCTGTCGGCAAACCATGTCCCAGGTGTCATAGTATTTAGTAGTAAGTTGTCTCTGAACAGTTACTGAAGTTGCATTGGATGGTGGGTCATGGCTTATTTTATACACACACACATGTATACACCTGTCCACATGTGTATGCACCTGCCCACATACATACACACCTGCCCTCATTCATATGCACCTGCCCTCATGCGTACACGCCTGCCCACACATGTATGCACCTGTCCACACACATACATACCTGTCCACACATGTACGCATCTGCCCATATGCATAACATACCTACCTGCCCACACATGTACACACCTGTTCACACATGTATACCCCTGTCCACATGCATCCACACCTGCCCACACAAGTACGCACCTGTCCACACACGTATACACCTGTCCACATGTGTATACACCTACACACACACACACACACACACACACACACCTGTTCACACACATATACACCTGTCCATGTGCATATGCTCCTGTCCACATGTGTACACACCTGTCCACACATGCATACTCCTGCCCACATGCATATACACCTACTCACATATGCACCTGCCCACACGTGGACACACCTGCCCCCACATGTACGTACTTGCCCACATGCATACGTACCTGCCTCCATGCGTATGAACCTGCCCACATGTGGTATATATCTGTCAGCATGTGTCGTGGTCCGTGTAGCCCAGGTCACATTGGGCAGGCAAGTTCACACATATGGAAGCACATTTGCACAGTCCCAGGCTGTAATGGCCCTTACACACCTGTAGTCCAGTGTAGGAGTCACCCCACACTCTAGTGTGAGAAACACATCAGGTCAGCCTCCCTCTGTTACCGGTGAAGAAAAGACCCTTTCAGGCCCTCTGAAGGCTCACCTAGGGCTGTGTGCATGGCTCCATGAGACGTCAACTTTGAGTTTTTTGTCTAATCTAGTGTATTTGAGAGTAAAATCAAAGCTGATGTAAAATTTTTTTGTTTTTGAAGATTTAAGGGGAAATGAAACCTTTGAAATTCTTTCCTGCCTAGTTTTTATACACAGACTCACATGGTGATATTGAGATGTTGGCTGTCGTTAATTGGGGAGTGTTAAACAGGGAACGTCTCAGATTCAGAGGGTAAAGGAATGGAAAATTAGGTTATTAAATCCAGAGGAAGCTTGTTCCTCACCCAGTTTAAGTGGGATGCGTTCCTTTCAGATTCCTGTAGAATCTTCGATGTCATTACAAATGTTCAGAACTTATAGTTGACTGTTCCATGTTAAATAGGAATGAAATAAGGACCTGGTCTCACAGAAAGGAAGTCAGGGTCTTGACCTTGACCTTACTTATTTTAACCTCTGTGTAATCATTTTGCATCAGGTTGTGTGGAATTATATTTGACTAATCTGTGGAAAAGCTTTGTGATTAATAAAATGCTAAGGAGGAGAGCTTAGCCAAGTTAAGGGAATGTACTGTTTGCACCCACTCTCAAGGCCACTTTCAGAGCCCTCATCTGGCCAGTAACAGACCTGGGTACTGTTGGAGCTTTTCTGAGGGAGCTGTCAGCCACACATTTCAGCCACTAGAGTCACACTGTAGCACATTTTGTTAAAGCCACTAGGATGTAAGGTCATGAGGAGCGGTTTCACCCTTGTCCCTGTGGCGGGTTGTCTCATGCAGGCAGGAGCGGCACACAGCAGGTGCTCAGAAATCCTCGTCAGGTGGACGGTTGTATAGTTCAGTCCTGTTGGTAGTTTAGACTGGACAGTTGTCCTGAAGAGGGAGGTTTGGGGAGGAGAGCAGCCAAGTGACAATATGAGCAGCCTCACCGTTTGGAATTTTCAGTCCTGAGAAGGAGTCGTGTATGAAACAAGTGTGACTCTTCCTTGGAATGTTTTGGACCTCAGGGTGTGCTGTTTGGGGAGCTGGCATCAGGGATACTCAGACGTGCTGTTTGGAGTGAGTGTCCCTTCTCCGTAGGTTGCCAATGTGATGAAGCAAGGCTGGCTCGAGCGCCTTGAGTTCTGCAGAGTGCACATGGTGGGAAGTGCTCTCCCAGATTGGGTGTCTGCCTGAGTACAGCGCGTCACCTGCTGGAAGCCCAGTTTCTAGAACAGTTTGGGAAGGAAGGTGGTGATCTGATGGCTATGTACACAGAGGCCGCGTGGTCTCTGTCCACAGGGACAGGATCACACTGTGTGTGCAGCTCTCCTGGGAGAGCTCTGCCTTGGCTGGTGGGAGGGCATGGTGGTCCATTTGTCCCGTCAGCCTCTGTCGCACCACACAGGTGTAGGTCTGCTCAGTGATACAAACACCACACCTGAGCTTGTGGCCAGCTCGTGAGAGGACCACACTGGTCTGTGCCCGACATGCATCCACAGTTGACTGGTGCAGGCTGTTCCAGGGTGGGCGCTTCCTCCTGCCCTCTCCCCTGGCGCTAAAGGGTGGGCCGTTTACTGGGAGCCACAGGTCAGGTAAGAAATGGGCGTTCCGTTTCTTTCTTTTTTTTTTTTTTAAGAACATTGCATTTCCTCCCTTTCTTTTATTTTTAAAAGATTTTATTGGGGAATTGGGGGAGGGAACAGCGTTGGGAAATTGGGGAAGGGGAACAGACAAGTTGCTGTCTTTTTTTTTTTTTTCTTTTTTTTAGCTGAGACATTCTGCCACCTGTTGGCAGCTCAGCTCGGGCCGGGAATCGAACCAGCGACCCTGTTGCTCAGAACTGGCATTCTTGAGCGAGTTCTTAATCAACTGAGCCACTCAGCTGGTCCCTTGTCCTTTTGTTCTTCAGTCTAGTTGTGGAGGATGTCGCTTCACTGGCCCATGTTGGTATTGTGATCATTGCGCTCTTCCCCGCTGAGGCAGATCGGTTGCCGGCTATTAGATGGCCACTCACGCTGGCTGCTGGCTGCTCACACCGGCTGCCAGCCACCCACAGTAGCTTACGGCAGCCCACTGCATCCCCACTGCAGCCTACACTGTCGCCGGCAACTCACGGCAACCCAACTCCAGGTCGAGCTGTTGTTCACCATCTTAGCTGTAGAGGGTTCAGCGTCACTGGCCCTCATGTGGGACCCGAACCGGCGGCCCTGCTGCTCAGAGCTTGCGCTCCCAAGCCAACTCTTAACCAACTCGCCACTCGGCCGGTCCCGCTGTCAGTTTCTGACATGCCAGCCTCTCCACATCTAGTGTTTTTTTCTCAGCTGTGAAATTCCGGAGATTGTTATGCAAAACAGCTCTGTGTGTGTGATGGGAGCACAGCTGTTGGCCCTAATGAGGACTGCTGGTTGATTGAGACCCTCGGAGGGAGCGGAATGTTCCAGTTCAGGCAGTGGTGTGTGGCGAGGAGGTACCGTGCTGTCAGCTGGAAGCACAGGCTTGGCTGCTCCCGGCGACAAGACAAATGAGTCTGCTGGAGTCTGGCAGAGTCTGCGCTTTGCTGTGTGCGGCCGAGGCTCCCACGCTCCCGTGGGACCCACGTCTAGGTGCCTTGGGACGACTGCTCCGCACAAGCTCTGCCTCTGATGCCCCACAATAGTTGTCAGGGCCGTGATTTATTAGAAACCGAATGTCTTTCAGCGTGCTATTAACATACGGTGAAGCGGTCTTTTGTGGAGACTTTCCCTATTAATTCAGCAGGCTGCTGTCTGAAAGTGAGCGGGGCCCACACCTCCTGAGGCCTGCATTCCATGGAGCAGTCCCCATGTGAGCCTTTGCTGGAGTCCTCAGAGTCTTGGCATGGACAGGGGGCAGCACCTCACCCTACTCAGGCCTTTGGGAGGGATTCAGATGGCCCCTCGGGGCGATGCTCCAGCCTCTCCGTTTCCCCCTTCTCCCTGTGTCACACACTGGCCCACATGGGCAATGTCACACCTGGGGAGGTCCAGGAGGCTGCCCAGCCCCACGTGCTCAGGGCGCCCCACAACAGTGGTCACCCTGTGCAAGCCATGTCAGGGTCCACACCCACCCGGCAGGGACTCAACACAGGTTTAATCAATGGAGTGGCTTTTGGTCTGCAGTCTGGGCTAGACCTGAAAAGTTTATTCCTTGTGTGAAATGAAAGTCGTTTGAAATTATTGTGAGCAATAATGAGGTTGTATATGCAAAATATATGTGATCTATTTGTAGCTAACTTTTATGCCTGAAAAAACATGACTCTTAAATATCCTGGAGGCTATTATTTTGGGCCAGAGGTGTCAGGAATTGTGGGATTATTTTCTTGACCCTTTCTTTCACTTTATCTTAAAAATGCTTTCCTTCTTTATCAGGGTCTAATTGATGAGTGAAAACTGAATGTATGTTTGATATGTGTGTACACTGAAACGGCCCCGTCAGGCTAATGCATACGTCCGTCATCGCCCTGTTAACTTACCGTCTGGAGTGGTGCGAGCACTGCATGCCCTGATCTCTGCTTGCTGTGCAGCACTAACTGTAGTCTCCATGCTGGACACCAGTGGATGTGCTCACCCCATGCTCTTTACTTGCAGCACTGTGACGTCTGCCGTGTTCACCGTCGGAGATAATGTCGTTTCAGGCAGTGACGACCGCACCGTCAAGGTCTGGGACTTGAAGAACATGAGGTCCCCCATTGCGACCATTCGTACGGACTCCGCCATCAACAGGTGAAGAAAGCTGCTCATTGCTCAGCCATGTACTTGACTTGAAAGGGTCGATTGTAATTGTAATGTAGTGTCTCGTTGATGTGAATTTACTGTTCAGTTGATAGAGCCTTGGGAAAGTGGTTTAGACCCTGGGAAAATATTTGTTATTGATCCTCTGATGCAAACTCAGTATTCTGTAAATACTGAAAGTACTTAATATAAAACCCAGTTAGTGTAGTGAGCTGTGTAAGAATAAGAATGAGCCAGTTATGGCCCCGTGTTGTACCTCGTCTCTGTGACCTAAAGCCTAGACAGGTAACACTTGAGGTTTGCTCATGTATTTTGTCATGAAATGTACATAGTATGAAACATCCTACTGCATCATAACCTGTAAACTCAGAAACCTGTGCTGTCACTGTTTTATATGTAACATTCTTTATTTCTGCTATGCAGGATCAATGTATGCGTCGGCCAAAAAATCATTGCCCTCCCGCATGACAACCGACAAGTGAGGTTGTTTGACATGTCCGGAGTGCGGCTGGCACGGCTGCCCCACAGCAATCGGCAGGTAACAGTGTGCTGATGCGTGCTCACGGGCAGCCCGAGGCCCAGCTTCCGCACAGCTATTTTGTAAAAGGACAGATTATTTTCATTGTATTTAATGGGATACATCCAAAATAATATCATTTGGACATGCGATCAATATAAAATGTTAGTGGTTTTACATCCTTACTTTCCTGCTGAGTCTATGGAGGCTAGATTTTCTTTGGAAATACTTGATCTGTATTTAGAGTTCTTAAAATTTAACACTGACAATGCTTTCCAGTCCCTGAGTATCAGTTTCTAAGTTTAACGTCAATGAGATCAAGTGCCCAGCTCCTGGATTTCACCGGCATGTTTTCGGAGCGCCTGTGCTCATGAACCAGGGGCCCCCATGCTGGAAACCCAGTCTTAGTGGTGGTCGAACTCACACAACTGGGAACACACTGAGAGATAGGATGTGCGTGGCAGGCGGGAGCAGTGACCGCGCTTGTGGAAGCATTTTAGGAAAGGTCGCTCCTCCACCCCAGGCAGGAGACCCCTTTCCATGACCGTTTACCTGGACACATTCAACTGTCGGTGTGGCTTTTCTGGGGGCTAGGTGGCCCCGTGTCAGCCCAGGTGGGTCAGTGTGCACCGACCTGCTGACTCGGTGTCTGAGGGGCGCCAGGGCCTGAGTTCAGGTCCGTTCCCTGGGTGATTCCAAGTGTGAAGGACAATCCCGGTGAGTGACATAATGGCTCCTTCCGTGGGGAAGTGACTGGAGCTGCAGGAACAGTCCCGGTTGTCGAGGCAGCGTCCCTCAGGGCGTGTGCCAGCTAAGCCCTGCCCAACACACTCTGCTGCCTTTCGCCTTTTCCTGCCTGTCACTATGACACCTCGTTGTTTCTAAAGGAACTGGGCCCTGATGCTGTATAATGTGTCTGTGCACCTGAATCTCCGCCATGGCTGCTTGTGTCCCCTGGTGGACAAGCCTTAGCGCAGTCATACCTGGAGGTAGATGGTCAAGAGGCATTTGCAGCCAGCCGAGCAGCACCTTCTCTTTAAGGGGTACCCCCATTCTGAAAGCCCTCAGTCCTCGAGACACACTGTCTCTTCCCTGTGTGGCTCCCACGTACACTGTTGGAAGTTTGTTACCTGGGAGTGCCCATCACAGAACGACTACTCATGACGTTAGCGCAGCTGCGGAAAGCTTCCCAGCCTCTAACAAAGCTGCAGCAGCTTGTCCCGGGGGATCTTCTTGGTGGGTGGCCGCTGAATGTCACCCACGTGCCCTTTCTCAGCCACTCTCGTGTGACACAGAGTCGCTGTGTGTCAATGAAAGTCTGCATTTGGAAGTGGGAGTGGGAGCGACTTCTTCCTGTCAAGAGAAAAGGGAGTTCTCAGCAGTTCTTGGTGATGGTACTGCCATGGACACGATTTCACTTGTATTATCTGTAGACAGTCCGCCTTGTGGGATTGTAGAATTCTGTTGTGCTTGTGTTTGTTTCCTCCTAAAGTGGCTCCTAGAAGGACTTTTAAGATTAACGAATAGCATTTCATTTTGTTGTGGGCTTGTAGCTCTGCTTCAGATGAGTAACTACAGTTTTGTGTCACAGAACCACAGCTGGGATCTCCGCTTCATATCGTCCCAGCTTCTTTCTGCTGACAGACTTAAAAAGAGATGACGGCACTCGGTCGAACTTGTCACTAGGGTGACAGGCTCATAAAGTGGAATTGTCTCTCTTTGGGGCAAGTGCTGTGTGATATTTCCCAGAGCCAGTACTGAACGGAAGCCCAGGGAGGACAGGCCGGGCACGGGGATGGGCCTGCAGAGCCTTTCTTGGGTCCTGTCTGGTCTTGAGCGCCCTGGGAGCATGCTCAAGGTGAAAGGGTGGACTGCAGCCCAGAGCAGGCATGCGGCCATCCGGCTCCCACACCCGCAGGTGCCATCCCTGAGCACCTGACTTCGGTGTTTGTCCTGTGGACATCTGGAGTTGAGGCTCGACTTGGCCGCCAGTCTCCTTGGATTCCTAGCACGAGTGTAGAGGATACTCCCAGCGTTTCATATGTGGCTCCTTTCTTGTAGTGCTTTTCTCTTGGTAGCCTGCTGGGTTCTCTGTCAGATATACGTGAAGCACTGCTCACATGTGAATGTTTTGCACAGGGGACGTCTGTGCCCACTACTTGAGCATTTCTTTCACCCAGTTTCCGTCAGCTGTTCCAGTCCTGCTTCCTGTTCCCATCCTGCTTCCTGTATGCCTTGTCACGGTGTGGTGACAGCCACGTTAGAAGCACATGTGATGCGTGCTAAGTAAGGCTTGCTTCGCACATTTACACTGGACATATCCCATTGAACTTCGCAAGTATTCGGCAGTAACTTTTCTAACGTTCTGCTCTTCAACCGGAATTTCTGAGGGTAGCAGGAATCTGCTTGAGATGCCATTTATGTTTCCTGGTTTTATTCGGCACCGAATATGTTTTTTCAGCTGCTTAAACACCTGAACCAATTATTTGTTAAAGTATCATTCGAGGTCTCAGTGAATTTCATTGAGTTTATTCCCAAATTTACCCAGCATCTTCTATTCATTAAAACATTTCAAACTGATCATTTATTTCTCTCTGACCGTAATCTTACTCATTTTCTTAAAGAATCCTGAAGTGCTTTTGTGTGCGCCTCACTAAACTCACGTTGTGTCTGATCCACTCATTCCGTCATGGACTTCACACTGGCATGCCATGCAGAGCCCATCGCCATACTCAGTATTTTGGGCTCACATTGACCGATCCCGCGTCTTAATTTTTTTTCTCTCAATTCGGTCACTTTGAGTGGTGTAGCTGTTAACGTGGCTGAGGTTCTGTAGGTCGTAGGTTTCTGGAATAATGCACTAATTCTGGTTTGTGTGATTGGTACTAGGGCCACAGACGAATGGTGTGCTGCTCGGCGTGGAGTGAGGACCACCCTATGTGCAATCTTTTCACCTGCGGCTTTGACAGGCAAGCCATTGGCTGGAATATCAACATCCCTGCGCTGTTACAGGAAAAGTAAGGTGGCCGGCGCCCCATTCTGGTGGTTTGCCATGGACCTGCGACTGGGGCAGGCCTTGCTCAGACTGACCAGCCGTTTTGTGATAGCTGGACCCTGAGAAGGGGGTTTGTATGTGTCCGTTTCACATTGTACCCAGCTTGCATGAAGTGTACAGAACTGTGGTCCTGTGTTTTATTCCGTCATTTGTGTGCGCTGGCGTCCTCTGGTCAGTGGGAGTGAAGCCTCTCCCTACAGCACGTCGCGGTGACTCGCTGGCATTGGCCAGGGGACAGGAGGCAGGCATCACACTGTGAGTCTAGGATGAGCCTGTGTGCTCACGTGAGCGGGAGTTGCCTGGCATTTCTGGAACAGTCCCACGTATCTCCCTCATCCTGGGAAGACGGCAGAGCTGTGTTTATGTCGGCTGACGAATGGCAGGAATGATAAAAAACCCCACGTTTACTCCGTGTGAAGTTGTAGCATGTGCTGTCGTGTAGTTCACCTTCCGCTCTGTTCTGTTACAGATCTGTGAAATTAACCTGGATCTTAGAATTTACAAAAATAGCATAGAATGTTGAGTTTGCAACAGAGAGTTTCTTTTGAAAAGAAAAAGGTTTTGCTTTTTTCATAGAAAATCATTTCAATTTCCTGAGGTCTCATATTAGCAAATTCTAAAATATAATGATTCTAATCACTGATTTCAGATCTTAAGCAAAATTTAAAGCACTTTAGTTTATAGCTATGGTTATAAACAGTCTTTAGAAGTTTCAAATGACTTATCCATTGAATGTGACTTGACCTTTTTAAGAAGCCCTGCTACCTGAAAACAAAACCTTATTTATTTTCAGCACCTTTGGTTTGCCTATTTCTACATGGGTTCACTTTCTTGGTGGTATCTGAGAGCCTACATGCAAATAAATGAGTACTACCTCAAAAATAAACGTGTCGGAAGCTGGGGAGCTCACTGTTGCCCAGCTAAGCACTTTGGCTCTTAGCTGGAATACCGAGTTGAGTTCACAAAGCAAGAAAGTCAGTCAGCAAATGTACCCTGAGGATGGAAGGCACTTCCACTGGCTGACAAGGCAGCAGCCAAAACGATAATTCGCAGATGACAAGATGCCCTTGACACCTTTCAGTGCCAATCCTCCCACTGCCGGGGTGGGCCCTTCAGTGTCGCCTTTTCAGCAGTTACTGAATCTGATGCTTGTGATTTATTCCTGTTGAGTTTCAGTTTTGACAGACATCTCAGCATACTGCCCTTCATATTTTTAATCCTTTAAACATGTCCCCTTGGACACTGGCCCTTGGAGAGGCACAAGAGGGTAACCCTGAAAACGGCCTTGGGTGACCCCGTGCCCTGTGTGTCTGTTTTGTAGTGATGGGAGGCTGGAGCGCCCCAGGCCCCTTTCACTCAGGCCCTGCAGCAGCTGGTCTGCGGCACTTCAGCCCTGTGTCATTGGTGGTTCCGAAGTGATTTGCACAGCCCGGGAGGGAAGGGGCCCGGAGAACCAGTGCTGATGTGGTCCCGACTTGAGGTCGCTAACCAAGGGGCATGCAAGACATGCCTTAGAGGGACTTTATTTTTAAAGCTCCAGAATTGGTTGTATTTTTAAAGTGTGACATTCGTCCCGAGCACACTGAGATCACAGTTGGGCTGTCACTGTGGCCCTGCCCACCATACCCCAAAGGCATGAGCACGACCACTTCTCATCGATGGGCTGCACAGCCCCCTCGGGTTCCTTTTGCGTTTTAATGTGAATGGTCGGTGTCTCAGAATCATCGTTAGAGCATTGGAAAATATATACAAGTAGCTAAATCAAACTTAAGAAGCAGACCTCTGCCAGATGAAAAACATTTGAAGCTTTTAGATACATATTCATGATGGCCATTTAGTTCTGTGCAGACCAGCACCCTTCACGGCTGGCAGCTGCTCCTCTTGTTGCTGAGGGGAGGGGCTGCTCTCCTCACTTGTGTCTGAGGGTGCGAGGCCTCATGGTGCTCCAGCTGGTCCCCGGAAGCAGGACACGCCCCTGCTGCTGCTGCGTGTCCTCTGACGGGGTCCCGTCCAGCTGCTCTGGCCTCAGTGCCGGTGATGTCAGGAGCCATGAAGGAGACGGGTTAGTGTGTGTGCATGAGTGTGCGTGTGCATGAGTGTGTGCATGTGCCTGGCTGAAATGGTCATGTGATCATCCATGTGTGAGCTCATGTGAAGTAGCATCTGGAAACGGAGTGGTTTTGTCCTATATGGTGATATGTCCAGAATTTCATTTACTGATGGAAGGAGAATGTGTGGTTACTGAGGAATGTATACCGATAAGAATTTCACCCAAGACATGCTGTTGGACAAAGCAACACTTTCTCAACCGCTGCACATCAGTTTCTGTAGACTCAAAAATTCTGTGCCTATTTTGAAATCTGAAGAATCCTATGTAAATTATTTGTTGCTTAAATCTGTGAAAAACAAGTTTCTTTGGGGGGAAAGTATGCATTTGTAAGTGTTGTGTAGAAGCGAGTGTTTTTATTGTATTGATGTAATTGTTTTTAAGTGTTCAGCGTCTTCATTGTATTATGAAATTCATTAAAAATCCATGTTCCATAGCTACTGTTGTAAAGTTCTATGTTATTAGGAATCTCTTTTTATTTTACTTATTGTTTTTCATATTTTGCTTTGGTGGAACTTTGATAATAGCTACTGAACATCACAGTGACGTAGAAATTGAACCAATTTCTAATGACAGTCCTGCCCACTTGAAAAATTTTAATTGTAGACTTACAAGATCAACTGTTATATTTCCGATCTGTTTGTTATGCTAATATTAAATGGTACATGATGTGCTTCTACACTCCTGCATCCCCACCCTGAAATTTTCTGGAGTTAACAGGTTGACATAATGCAGGCATTTCTGAGTTCCTCCGAGTCTTGGAAGATGCTTGTATGGCTCTCATCATAGTTAAGCTTCTTCAAAAGTTTTAAAAATTGCAGTTACAGCAAGTTGACCCCATTTTCTGCAGGACAGTGCAAATCAGGGTCAGCGACTGCTTGTCCCCTCTACTTCACCCACATGCGTGAAGTATTGTGCGGGCAGCAGGGTCCTCGGTAGGTGTCAACGCCATGCGGCAGCCCTGCTTGCGGCGCCCCTGCTCGCAGCCCTTTTCAGGCTACTGAGGCCCTGCCTGCATTGCACAGGCACTGGGGACATCCAGTCCCCAGAGGGCGGAAATTCTCCACTGCTTGCTTAACCTTCCACCTTACTCTTCAAAAACAAGTGATTAATGTCTAAATTTCATAGTTACACCTTTTGTTACACTTAAAAGTTCACAAAACAAAAAAATAAACATATTACTATGAAGAATCAAGAAGGCAAGACTTGTATTACTGTGACGTCATCAAAATGCCACTAAGATGTGTCTCCCTTACTATGGATAGATTTTGTTTTCCCTTAGAAGTTAAAGAAGTTATTTCAAAAATTGGGAATACCTCGATTGTTACATGCAACGTATATAGTCCATATTATGGCAGAAGATGCTAAAAATGAAACCAGATAAAAGTGTTGCATAATTTAACATTCTATCAAAACATCTTGAAGCATCTTCTGGTCAAAATGAAAATAGATCAAGCAGACCTTTGGAGCTGTGAGTCTGTGTCCCTGTGTGATGTGTGGCCTGAGGCAGAGAGCAGCAAGGGCGTGACTTTGGACAGTTTGGTCCAGGAGGCATCTCTAAGCAGATGAGCTTTAATCTTGAGCCTAAATGCTGTCAAGGTGTTATGAGATGGAGGGGACAAGAGGAGCGGTGTGGGGTCGAGCCATTGTGAGGTGAGGACCCGGGTGAGGTGGGGTGAGGAACGGGCACCCTGTCATGCCTTGGGGAGCGCCAGTGTGCTCTCTGTGCACTGGCTGCCTTGGGACACACTGGAGGGGTCCCAAGGAGTCGTCCAGGTGGCAGCAGGTGGGGGAAGAGCATGGACACGAGGCCTGGGTTGGAAGGAGGCCAGGCAGTTCTGGCTGGAAGGGAGGACTGTTTATTCCCCAATTCATGTACGTTTATGGAAAATGCTGTCATTGCCAGCAAGTGGCTGTGACCGCAGGCGTTCCTTAGTTATGCAGAGGATGCTTCAAGCACAACCTAGAATGTATGAGAAGGATTTTTTCCTGAAGAAAGTGGTGACGGGATGTGTTAGGAAATTCTAATCACAATTTAGACATTGGATCTAAGTTACCTTAACTAAATGTATTCACTACCTGGACTGCTGGCATTCTTTCACCACGTCACAAATACTTCCTCTCACGCTCTGGGTATCATACCTGCCCCTCCCCCTCATGGGTTCTGAGCGAGTGGTCAGTTCAGGCTCCATCCAACCCAAACTGGGCCATCAGGACCCTCCCCACAACATTTTGGAACTAGAACTGAGAAAGCAGCGCCAGTAGCTTCGTCTGAGTGAAAAATAATGCAGATGTGCTGAGAGAAAAACAACTAGATTTGGATGCTCAGCAAAGCTGCCTGTCAAGAATGAGTGTGAAATGCAGATGGCGTGGGGACGGTTTTCACCACTACGTCTTCCCCAACGGGGCTTCCTGAGATACTGCAAGGAGAAAGTCACGAAGGGCTGCTTTCAAATTGAACAAACGTCCCAGCAGACGCCCATGTAAAATCATGTCTGATTGGAGTTGGTGGTTTAAATTTCTATTTTTATTTGGGCGGAGAAATAGAATATTGAGTAATTACAGTCCTTTATGTTATATATATATACACATACAGATATATACATCTATATATCTATATATCTATATCTATCAGGGTGACCACAAAGAAGAAAACTACCTTGGAAGGATACAAAGAAATGAGTAAAAGTAGTTATGTAAAGGGGTTGGGAAATATAAATAATGGGTGGAAGTGAGGTTTTAGTGTATTTATTTTTATAGTTTTTTTAAAAAAACACTTTAAAACCATCAAAGCACATCTCCCAATATCTGAAAAGTTTCCACCTTTAGCCACAAAAAGGGAAAATCTGACCAAAAGAAAAGAGGCTTGACATTATCCATGGGAATATTTTAACACTTCAACAGAGACATTAAAAAAGAACAAATGAGAGACCATCATGTTCATTAACAGGAAGGGTCAACACATTGTAAAAATGTCAGTTCTCCCATGTGGGCAAGTAGATTGAGTACAATTCCAACACAGATTGTCCCCGAGTTTTCTGAGAGATTTGACACTCTGATTCCTAAATTTATTTGAAAGAGCAAAGGCCAGCTTTAACAAGACACCCAAGAAGAGAAAGGAGGAGGAAAAGGAGAAGAAACAGATGAAGGTTGTGGTCCATGAAGTGTGATGTTGGCACAGGGATGGGAGAGATGACCAATGAGACAGAAAGCCAAGGTGATTTTTGCAAATGTGAAGACTTGAAATATTTCAGCTCATATAATCACAGATCACTGAAAAAAAACCCAAAACCAGCCTATGTAGCAATGGTTCTAGTGCTACTGGCTGCCCATGTGGAAAAAAATAATGAACTTGGATCCCTACCTCACACTCAAAGTCAGTTCTACATTATATATTAAAGGAAAAACATTAATACTTCTTTAAAAATGAGAAAATTTTTATGATTTTGCGTTAATTAAAAAACATCCATATATATATATGTCGTGGGACATGGAGTATAGTGTGGGAGTGGAGTCAAGGGATTTGTAATAGATATGATATTGGGGGGAAATGGGGCGGCGGATCGGGGGAGGGGGGTTGTCACCTCAGGTGTAAAAAGTGTAACTATTGCACTGTGTTGTACAGCTGAAACTAATTCTAAAAAATGTGTATTTCATAATAAAAAATAATAAAAACAAAAAAAACTATCCAAAAATGCATTAACCATACTAGAAAAGATTGATACATTCAAGCATATGAAAATTTAAGAGTCTAGGACACCTTAGGGTAAAGCTGTAAAATACAAATTGTAGTTGCAACATATGTAATCCACAAAAGATTGATATTCAGGATAGTCAACAAGATTCTACCTGTCTCTAGGAGAGTCAGATATTGAGCAGCAGACATGAATAAGTATGTCACAAAAAAGAAAACTGAATAGCCAATAAATACAAAAAAAATTTGAAAATTAAGGCCAAAATGAAGCAGCACCTGCCAGCCCTCAGATTGGGACAATGCCAAGCATGTGGACTGTTGGAACATTAATCTGCACTGTTGGCTTGGGTGTAAAGTAATGCAGCCAGTTGGAAGGCGTTGTCCTGTAAGTGGGCATGTGCATGCCTCCTGCCCCTGCAACTGCTGGGTGCACATCAGAACATGATCTATTAAAGCATGATGCCTGCAGACCTTGTGTGTCTGAAAATGAAGGCTCCTGGTCCAACCCCAGAGCTGCTGACCCAGCGTCTCTCAGCAGCACACAAGAATCTGCGCTTTGGACAAGCTCCTGCATCTGATTCTGCTGTCAGTGTGAGAGCTGCTGTCCTGAGCAGCCTTTTGCACATGTGCACTAGGGGGCACGTGCAAGGTCATGCCACCAAACTGGAAACAACTCAACCACGTTGACAGGGATGCTAAATAAATCGTGGCATGTCTACACAACAGAGCATTATGTAGCAGTAAAAATGAACGAGCCACACACAGCTACGTGCAAACATTGAACGTAGGGATAGGTTGGATGAGAACACAAGCCATAGACACTACACACAGGGTGGAGCCATTTTTATAAAGCATGGTAAGCCCAAACTGCATTTATAATTATGGTCATGTTTCTTGGGACATGGGGTTGAAAACCCAAAATTCAGCTTGGTGTTCTCTGGGCCAGGAGTAGGGGTTGGGAGGGAGGCAGAGGAGGGACTAGTAGCCCCAGAATCAGCAACGTCTAGTCCTTATTTGGATAGTGGGCACACAAGTGTCTGCTCCAGTGTTCATACATCTTAATTATCTTCACAAATATTCCTTTAAAGCATCTAATAGCTCTTCATTAAGAGTAATAGAGGCAATTCTAAAGAGAACGTGCCTGTTATTCCACGGATGGATAAAGTGAATGCCGTATAATGGGGGGTTATAGCAGTAGTTTTTACCACGTCCATTTCAGGCTTATCAATGCATAAACATATTTTATTCCCTTCAGATATTGGTTCTTTTTCAGCTCACAACCATGTAGTTTTATTCTACAATGTCTGATTTCCAGTCGGTGTGTCAATTCCACAGGAGGAAACAAAGTCGATTTTGTTCCAAGATCGTGTTCTTGGAAGAAATAGTCACTAAGGAAATTATAAAATGGCATGTGTTACACTGTGTCAAAATTGGGTTGCCTTCAAGTACGCTTTGGAAATCCTTGCTGGAAAGTGGGAAATGTAATAAGGATTTCATTTACCAGGTGCGGTCCTAAAACAGTAAAAGGGGTTTTCTTATGTTGTTAAGAAACCGGGACTGAAGATAATTTCAGATCCAGGAGACAGTCCAAAAAACAGGGTTCAGCAGCGGTCATATACCAGAATAATTTTTATGCTCATACTGTGTTTTTTGGAAAACCAGCATTTTAAACTCTAAGTTACATTTATACTTAAGGGAGCTTTGGTGGTTTATGTTTCTCAAGAATGTGTTCCCGTCATCTA